TTTTTTTTTTTTTTTTTTTTTTTTTTTTTTTTTTTTTTTTTTTTTTTTTACCATTGGTGCATTAATCCTAACCTTTGCTTTAGAGGAGGAATCTCCATGTGAGTCTAGATTCTATGATCTATTTGGTCTGCTTCTTTTGCGGCCTGCTCCAAGATTATCTCTTTTCCCACCACCATGTGGCAGCTGGGCTGAGACTAGAGACAACCAGCCCACAAAAATGGGGAAGGATAGTGACAAAAAGTGAAGAACTCTGGACCATGGACCACCTCCTGTGGATGGTGTAAAGGTGGCTGGCTCCAGTCCATATACTGGAGGTGCTCCGCTTTTCCCACAGTCCCAAATTTGGGGCTTCCATGCTTTCCCAAAGAAATACAGCTGTTATTTGCTGAAGCAGATTCTAAGCCTGCCACACTTAATAATTCAGTGGTGAACTTTAGAGCTGAGCGCAGGCTGAAAAATAACTTGCTTTGGTAAGTACAAAATCTCCATTTCTGCTGCCTTCGCTTCTCCCTCCTTCTCTCAGCCGTGGCCCCGGCAGCCCCCTGCAATCCAAACACTCACCGTTATTATGTGAGGGAGCAAAAGGGGAAGGTGGACCCGGGGGGGGGGAAATTCATTTCCTCTCTGTGGGATGTTTATTGTTTTTCCTGCTCTCAGTGGTCCAAGGTCTCTGTCGTTTTACGTGGTATTTTATAATGGGAAGGGTTCTGGTAGGCACCAATGAGTTCATCTGCGGAGACGCGCGGAGCCTGGAGATTTAAATTTATACCTCCCTGACGCCACTGTAATTGGGACTCCCGGGAGAGGAAACCCTGACAAGTGACACAAATAAACCCTGCCAGACCCCTTTCAAGACCTGTAGCAGCAGTAGCCCCAGGAGGACTCCCGTGATCAAATTACCCTTAAACAAATGCTTCTGCAGTAGCTAAGGATGTAACTGCTGAAGGTCAACAAGGTGTTTGTAGAACATGTTTACCAGGTTTATTTCCTGCCCCCATTCAAAGACCATGAGTTGCAACACTGGCAAAATGGAACTGGAAGAAGCTGCAAACCTAATTAAAACTCGTTACTCCAATTGTCTAGGAATACATTTATTTAGGCCTTCCCTACCCCTGTAGCTATTCAGGCATAATTACACCAGCGCCGTTTCCCTGAATATAAGCGAATAATATAAAGTACACTCATTTTCTCTCCTGTGAACTGAAATTTGGCAATGTCTGTGACATTTGTTTGGGGAGCTGATGAAAACATTTGGTGGATGTCTGCATCTCAGCAGAAAAGAGGAGGTTAAGAAAGATTGACAGACAGGCAGATAGATACGGATATGCAGATATATCCATGGATAAATGTATATATAAATGATTTAGTGTTTGCTTCCTTTCTCCAATCCTTTTGCAGTCAGTACCTGGTTTTGGTGGCAGAACTGCAGGATCAAAATCTGATGTACTCAGATTTTGATAGCCAAAGCAACAGATATCTTTAAATTCAGCCTGTGCCTCAAGAAACCTTATTTGCTGCCCCCCTTGTGATGCCAAACTGTGTGACTGGGTCAGCTCCTTAACTGTTTGAGCCTGTTTTTTTATTTCTTTTGTCTTTCTCTTTTTTCCTGACCAGACTGTAAATTTTTTAGGGAAATGACCTATTGTATAAATATGTTATCTCCATGTAGGAGGAAAAATAATTAATAGAATCATTGAATCATAGAATGGTTAGGGTTGGAAGGGACCTCAAAGATTATTGAGTTCCAACCCCCCTGCTGGAATTGTCATTTATCCAACTGGGAGGGAATGCACTTCAGGTGCTGCACTGCTTTAGCTGTTGGTTAAAAGAAAAGTCCCCATAACTGACTCAGAAACTGGGCTGGTGTAAAAATTCTGTATTGACTTTGGACAAAGCACAAGTAGCTCCTTCTGATAAAAATAGTAAGACAGAAATAACAGTTGTGATACAAAAATCATGGGATGAAACTCTTAGACTGGATTATGCAGGCAATTCAAATTTGAAGACCAGAAAAGCTCAGAAGTGCCTTTTATTCTGGATTTCCTCCCAGAGGCTTCTGGGTTTGAAACATAAACTTACTTGTTGGTTAGCACAGAGCTTTGCTCGAAGTCCAATGCCTGACAGTAAGTTTGGTGAAAGCCTGATGAGACCCAGGAACTTTAGCAAGATTTTCTTAGAAAGAATTAGTCATGGTGCCAAAAGACTCCTTCATTTCTTGCTCATAGTTTATCACTTATTCATTAGCGAAAGCTCACATTCCTGGATCTAACCCCGTTGACAACTCATTCCTTAGGGTTTTGTTGGTCATGACGTGGCCCTGGATCTCCCTGTCAGGTTCTAGTCATACTCTGTACTCCAGAAGCCCTACTTCCACACAGCCAGAGAAACAGCTTGTACCAACAAGCTGGCATTCCCATATTACCCTACAATACAGTCTGCCCAGTAGCTCACCAGCTCATGCATTTCCCAACATGCCTCAGTTTTCCCAATATCCCAGTTACTCAGTGCCCCAGGTCATTCTGTGCTGGTGTTAAAAATTACAATCACAGAACCGGACCCTTGTATGTTTCCCTCAGCTCACAATCACCAGAAGATGATTTAATTGCATGAGAAAATGTTCTCTTTAATCTCCTAGAATTAGTCATCTCTTCCTCAGTCATCTCTCTATATTTTTGGTTAGAGAGACTGAAAATCTTAATATATCAGTGACATTTATAACACATGTTAATATTATAAAACGTCAGTGCTCTATTTGCAGAAATGAATACTGATGTGATGGGAGTGTTTTATTATGTCAATGACTTTCATTATAAATATGATAAAACTGTGTCATCTTTTTTTTTTCCAAATAAAAAAGAAAACCACCTAATCATTTATCTCAAGGTTACTGCTCTGCTACCTGGTTAATTTATGCAAGTGATGTTGAAAAAAAAATGCACCCTGCAAAGGATTTTCATGTTGTGTGGGCATTTAATGGATGTTATCATTTACCTGCTTGTTTGGTTAGGATTAGAGTGTGACAATGAGCACAGAAATAGGGCTCAGGTAGTGGCTTCCTATGGACACAAAGCCAGGAGACGAAACCTAGTTTTAAGGGAATAATTAATCATTATCAGAGAGTGAAAGGTGGCTTGATATCACAGCATCTCCATTGCTCTCTCCAGGGCTACTGGCTACTGAAACAGCCATCATCCCTCAAGCCCACCAGCCGTGTCTGCAGATGATGCTCTGAGGGTGCCCTGCCTGATGCTTCCCTGGTCCTCAGGTCCATTGCCAGACCCACAGAGAACTAGAGGCTCTGGATGGAATCTTGAACAAGCCCATTGTGGGGGCTACGATACCATCCTGCCAATTAATCTTGATTACTACAGGTAGTATTTACTGTTATAAGCTGAACTATTCACAATACATAGTTGCACTTCCAACCCCAATAGTAAAGTGGTAGAGTCACAGAAAATCAAGAGCTCATTATAAGGATAATGATATTTTATGGAAAAGATTAGTAAATGAGTGTTTGTATTCATTTCTACTCTGTGTCTTTGACTATTTAAATTTCCTTACTAATTTTTGAAAATTGCAGATCCGTAAGAAACATCTTTGCAAGAAATAAAATATTAATTTATTTAAAGGAGAAAATAAGAAAACTTGATTTGATTCATACAAAATATCATGACTCCAAGGGCTGTGATTTTTCAAAATACCAAGAAACATCATGAAAGTCCCTCCAAAGTTAGAAGCAGCCACCATAATGAATCGGCACATTCTTGGTTCCTGAGTTAACACACAACACGATGAGGAATCTGTTCCCCTGGGGAGGAAGCACAGGGAGGACAGAGATTGCAGCATTAAGATCATGCTGTTGCTATGGTAAGAGTGTGCAAGACTTCAGGATTATTATTATTTTTTTTACTTTTAACTTTTTTCTTTTCCCCTCCCTCCCCTTCTGTCTATGAGCTGGTGATACTGAGACGGGAAACCCAAGATTGCAGTCCTCATAAAGAAAGACATCTGTTTTGGTTGTCAGCTTGAAGGAGGTCAGGAACAGGCTGTTGAAGATGACTGTCACACAGTAGATAATAAATCCACGGTGAAATTAATGAGTGGGTGTTTTTAATGGTAAGCATCTAAATTGTCTAGAGAGACAGTCTGTTTTTTTCAGGAGACCTCGCTACTGCTGAGACCCGGCAGAATCATTGCAAGGATGGGAGGAGCTGGCCAGAGGGGTCTGCAGGGAGCATGAAGGGGCTGTGTGGAATGAGGGAAAAGCCGAGGAGCGACAGGAGTCCCTTCAGATGCCACGGAACCAAACAGCAGCACAAACTGCTTGAACGAAAAGTATCTGTAAGTCAACTCCACTGGAGTGCTCAGTGATTTGATGCTTTGAGGGAAGAGAAATAACTTTCTGCTGGTGTCCAACTCAGAGATCTCCTGGAAGGGAAGACCTGAAGTGACCATCTCTTGGGGCACGGTCGATGGGACCCGGTGGGCTGTAGCCTGGCTGTGCCAGGACCGTCCCCTTCCCATGCAGCAGGAGGACTCCTGAGATGTTGCCTGGGTTAGTGAGATGATGGTTCCTCAAGGAATCCAGTCTGAAGTAGCATAGTCACACAGCAGTAGAAGGCTTCTCCCTCCCAGAAGTGAGCTACAACAGCACTTTAGCAGGAGCCAGAAGAACAGCTCTTTAAAAGAAAGTGCTGCAGCTTCTCTTTTAAATATTCCACTGGGCTTTTGATGTTCACAGGTGTCTGTGAGGCACCGAATGCTAAAGATGCAGTAATGAGCCCTACTAATTCACACCACTGCCCAGTCAATCTTGTACCAGCAGCAAGACAGTGCAAGGTGGCCTCTTTTCGTAGTTTTCTTTACTTTCTTTCCTTGTTCTCGGGCCTTTCCAGAGAAGAGGGGATATATATCTTCCTCCCCTGGGCTGCCAATGGCTATGGGTAAACTCAAAGTCAGGAAATCATGGCAAGTTATTTACCTCTTGAGGAAGCACCTTTTTGAAGAAACATAAATCAGGGTTTATTCAGAAGATTTCCTAATTAGGCCTACAGGAATGTCTATTCTCCTTCCATTTATACTTCTTTTCAAACAAACTGCTCCTGATATCATATTGGTGTGAATGAATTGCTCTCACTGTAGACTTTTACAGGGATCTTGTTATTGGTGTTTGACCTATCTTTAAAGTAAGGTCTATAGAAACATCAATGAATTGCTCTCACTGTAGACTTTTACAGAGATCTTGTTATTGGTGTTTAACCTATCTTTAAAGCAAGGTCTATAGAAACATCTTCTGTATAGCATCACATTGCACTCAGGAGTTTAAAGACATGTAGGAAACAAGATTGGAAATAGGGTCTCCTGAGGCACAGGCAGATTTTTAAGTCCCCAGAAACCACTGTCACTTACACCATTGAGATTTCGTTACAGATCTGGTTGCAGATGCACTGCTGTTCTTGGACCCCAACAAAAAACAGTGTTGATGCAAAAGGGTGGGAGAAAGGAAGAGAATCTATAAATAATTTTCAGGAGAAAGGAAGAGAATCTATAAATAATTTTTCTATCTATCTATCTATCAATGCGTCTAGATTTCCATATTGTGCAACAGCTGGGTGAATGCCAGTCGCGTCCTGACCTGAGCTGGGTTTTGTTTGCATTTCTCCTGCAAGTGAGTTTTTATAACTTCCATTTCTTCTAATCTCATGCTTCAGGAGCTGGCCGCTGGGAGAGAGATCGCGTGAGGCAAGAAACTCCCTTATGTATGTGCTGGGATTTCAAAACCCAGCATGGATGGTGCACTGGAGAGCAAAGCTGACTGGAGGTGACCCAGGAGATGCCTTTAGTGAGTTCCAGAGAGAAAAGCATGGCGTGATGGTGCATATAATACCAGAAAACCAGTGGACCCTGAAGCAGAGGAGTGTCTCCAGGCTGGTGTTACTCAGGAATACAGAAGTTTGAGACTGAATGGTTAAAAGGGGGAAAGCTATGGCAAGGGGCAGCTCATGGAGGGAGGACCATGGGCTGAAAGTGAAAGGGAGCCTGGGTGAGATGACAACGGGGAAGAAATCGTTACAATGACAGAAATGAGAATTAGGGGGTTCAATGAGCAATCAGAGGGAATGTCTGAAGGACCTTAATGCAAAGGTAAAATTGCCAAATCTGTGATGCTGCTAATAAACATGAATAATGTAGGGAAGGAATGGGGCATCTCGGGGACTGAGAGAAGGACTGGATCTGAGGATTTGGAAGAAAGAAAAGCTGCACAGAGACACTAGAGAAAACCAGAAGCATTGGCCTGAGGCAGAGAAGAGAGATAAAGGATGTAGGACTGAAGCACAGAGTTAGAAGATTGATTTATGAAGAGGGGAGAGCCTGGGAGAGGAGGACAGCCAAGGGGAAACAGTGGCAAGAATTCACTTGAGGGAGGAGTGATGCCACGGACAGGGACAGCCTGCCAGATCTTGGTACTCTCTTCATCTGAGTTTGTCACTTTGCTGTAATTTTACCTCCATCTATCCCTTCTGCAACCACAGGATGACTCATTAAAAGGAAAAAAAAAAAGAAAAAAAGAAGAAAAAAAAAGGAAAAGAAAAGCAATAGCCACCTATTTCTGATCTAAAGCGAAAGGGCAAGCTGTGTTTTCTATTTGGGCTAGAAAATGCCTTTCAGAGCTCAGCTGGCATTTAATTTGTTTATTCTTTCTCAGGACTCTCTCTTGCCTCTTTCTGCTCATGTTTTTCACAGTTGCTCCTCAGTGGAAGGTAAAGCCAATAATGGCCAGGTTGGAGGTGAACTTTCAAACCCACAATATTGGAGCAGATTCAGAAGGAAACAAATGGAGGCTGCTCAGGCATAATTTAGGAAATGGCTGGAGACAGATGGGCATTTGGCGCTGAAACAAGAACAGGAAGACCATGAACTTTGGGGCAGCAGGAGGAGTTAATGCTAATTCAAAGAAGCCAACAGTGCTGTCTTGGGGATAAAGAGGGGTGCTAACAACATCCCCAGCTGTGGGATGGAGCCCAGGTGAAACTGGCCTTCCTTTTCCTGGAGACATGACCTGGGCACTGTTTGGCAGTGGGTGGCAGTTAATGATGACAGCTTTATGAGCTTATCCATAATGATGAGGCTTAGCTCCTGAACAGGAGGGACTTTTAAAGGCTATTAAACCAGCTGTGCGGTACTTTCTGTTTCACAAGAACAGCAGTGGCAACATCTGTGCCAATTTTCAATGTGAGGATGTGGATGTGGCCATGCATGTATGTGTGTGCAAAAACTGGGGGGATTGCAGTCCACTAAAGCTCTCCCAGCTTCCCAAGGCTATTTTCTGGTTTCAGGTCTGATCTGAGGAGGAAGGGAGCTGGAAATCCGATGTCCTTTGAAAGAGGAGCATAACTCCCACTGGCCTTGTCCATGGAGATGGGGACACTGAGGTAAAAAAGACAGATGTTGCCACCTGCCAGCTTGCCATGCATGGCCTCATTCCCTAGTTAATGCTGCCTTCTCTCTGTCCCAAACACTCCAACTGCTTCCCCATGTCCTGGAGGAACTTTTTTTCCTTGAGTTCGCACTCTCAGCACTCATGGATGATATTTTCCTTATGGATAAGGAGTTTCTGATTATTTAAACTAGAGGTCAACAGATCAGCAGGTTGTAGTGAGAAAAACCAGGCACAGACGAGTGGTTATGAGGACAGGTTAATCAAGAAAATAGTTAAGAGCAGCAAAAGGATGTCAACCTTTGACACTGGAGCAGATTACTTACAGATGGAAAAGAAGAGTAAAATATCTTCACAGATTCAAATTGAGAAAGAATAGGACTGAAGAAATCAAAAGAACGCAGTTGATGTGTGACTCCTGGGAGGCACTTCACAAGCCAGGTGTCTCTGATATCCCACCCATCCCTCTGCACCCCAGCCTGAGTTTTGGGAGCCACCCATCACTTAGACAAGCTAAGCCCAGCTAAGCCACGCTGTCCCTTCTGCCAGAAAGCTCACTCCTCTCTTGTCCTTGTCTTGCCTCTGCCTGCCTTGTAGCAGGAGTCTCTGCAGAGCAGCCAGACCGGCAGTATCTCTTTCACTGTGGGTTTGCACAGCCTTTCCTTGGGATCCAGGGGACTTGTTTGTATTAACGTAATTGGCAAACACATTGTTCAAATATTAGCAGTGGCAGCAAAACCATTGTGTGGGACTAGTCAAGGCAAGCGGTCCCTTCACTCACAACAGTTAAAACCTGGATGCTGTTGCCAGGCGTGTTGGGCGCTGAATGTGATCCAGAAAAGCCGTCCAGCTCCAAAGCTGGCTGAGCTGCTCCAATCTTAGTTGTTATTAATTTGACTGGGGGGATAAAACTACTTATAAAGGTCACTTTCTGCAACCAAAGGCAAGTGACAAAGCATTTGGCATTATGTTCCGGGGCCTCTGGTGCAGGGAGGGAGTGAGGTAGCTCTGGTGCAGGAGTAGGATTAGGGGAGCTGTGCTGGAGGAGCCTCCCCGTGTCTGCTTGCTGGGTGCATTGCACCCTCCCCTTCCCCAATTCCAGCTCTGTCACCCCAGGAAGAGGTGAAGCAGGAGGGTTGCATAAGGCTGGAGAGAGGTTTGAATCAGCAGCTTCACCACCACGGGAAAAATGCCCTAATGGCGGAGAGAGGTTTGAATCAGCAGCTTCACCACTGGAAAAATGCCCTAATGGTTTTGCCACCACACTGTGATAATGTAAGATGAGAGAAAAGAGGTTTTTCCAGATCCTTTGGTGAACAGGACTTCATGGGAAGCGTTTATTGCAATAAGCCAAATTCCACAACCCAGCTGAAATCAATGGCATTTTATGCCAGGTATGAACTGGGTCAATATTTTTATGATGATGCCTTTACTGATATACTCTTTGCCTAAAAAATGGAACTGAAGTGATCATAGAGCTCAGTTTATGCTTAAATGTATGGACACGTGAATAATGCTGTTCCTATATGACAACAGAAAGGATGGGAGGAACATCTTTTAAATTCTTTATTGATTAATTTAATGTAGCAGACAATACCGAATCGATGACATGATGAAGGGACTGGGGTTGCCAGGTCCACGGCTCTGCTTTGGGCCAGCCCAATGGTTGATGAAAGTAAGAATTTGGTTAATTAACTATTCATCTCCCTTCTGAGGCAGTGAAAAGGAGAGAGGCCAATAAGATCACAGAGATCTCCCACTTACCTCCATGTAAAATGGAGTGCCAATGAGAGGAAGCTGGCGAAAGCATCCATGATACTGAGGAATAATAGGAATGTACTTACATGTCACTGCCTTGTATACAAAAGCCCCAGACTTCTCCTCTTTCACCTCATTGTCCAATGAAACCAGCTTGCTTTGGTTCTTCAGGTAAACCCCCAGTTCTTGGAGACATCTCCCACTTACCTCCATGTAAAATGGAGTTCCAATGAGAGGAAGCTGGTGAAAGCATCCATGATATTGAGGAATAATAGGAATGGACTTACATGTCACTGCCTTGTATACAAAAACCCCAGACATCTCCTCTTTCACCTCACTGTCTGATGAAAACAGCTTGCTTTGGTTTTTCAGGTAAACCCCCAGTTCTTGGAGATAATTATGAAGGAATACTCTTTTTGTGTGTATGTGTGTAAGAAAACTTGCAGTGCATTTTATTTGTAGATGCGGTTGGAAAAACAAAAACAAAACCACAGCTCCCCTACCCCATGATCCCAGCATATCCTAAAGATTTAAAATAGAGAAGACACATAAACAAGAATTCAAAATGTGCTTATAAAAACCTCATGCATTTTTTGAGCTATTCTCATGCTGTTTGAACACAGAAAGCTGGGCATACTCTGGATACAGTCGATGTATCTCCTACTATAGCTCTGTTGGAGTCGAGATGAGCTACATAAGCAGACAATTTGGCCCATAATTTTTCTCACAATCAGTAATTTAAGAAATAATCTCTGAAGGCAGTGGGTGTTTGAACACTGTTATCTCTGTTCATGCTGACTCTTTCCCCTGCCGCTCCATCCTGAACCAAACTGTGTGTGTGCTGTTTGGAAACTTGGCAATAGTGCAGCCTGGAGATGGCATGGCATCCACCTGGTCAAACCACCCAGACCACGCTTCTGCTCCACTAGACTACGATAGGAATCAATCCCTCCACGCCTGTCCTCTCACTTCCCCCAAAAAAACCTGATATTTGAAACAAAATCCATCCAAAGTTGCCTCTATTTCAGGTATGTCACAGCAATGCCATGTCCTCCCTTCTTCTGTGGGTAAACTGAGACATAGAGGGGACACCTGTTTTGCTGTACATTAATCAAAAAAAAGGGATCTATAATAGCAATAGATATTTCAGCCCCAAACAACATATCCTGCTCATTGGAATGATTTCCTTCATAAACCTAATTTTATTCTTTAACTGAAAGTCCGCCTTTAAATGGGAAGAAAGCACAACCTGTGGTTTCAGCAAAGTGTTTCTGTTAGAACTGAAAAAACCTTGGAGCTTCTGGTACATTATTGTGTTCATTTAAAATTTGTTAAAATTAATGGGGAAAAATAAGAAAAAATCATTAAAGGAAGCTTTTTCTTTTAATACTTGTAAACACAAAGAAATTGATGAACTGATTTTGGTTTTTTACACAACTGTTTTGTTAATGAAGTATTTTGTTGTTTATTTACCTTTTCAAATATGCAAGGACAGATTCACAGCAGGGTTTATGTAATTCCCCAGGAAGCAGAAAGTTTGTGGGCTTAGGGAAATATTTTTATTTAACATCTATAACAGAATATAGATCTGATTCACATGCAGACTTTTGTCCCACTAAGATCTTTCAATATTTCAATAGGATTGATAGCAGAAAAAGTTAAGCATGAACATAATTTTGTTGCAAAATAGTTAAAGGGTAGATTGAGAATGCTAAAAAATTTATTTTAAGTTAAAATTCTCCAGATGCATTAATTTGCCTCATGCTAATGATATTTTGGGGCACATTATCCTCTCCCATGGGCTTCAGAGTAGGGTTTATACCTGTCTACTTCAAAGGAAAATTTGAAGCAATATCTGTGATGCTGATATTTTTGAGTTGATTTTTTATTATTATTTTGATAGAAACGAAACACTTCTTTGCAAATATTTTGATGGTAAATCTCTAACAATTTCCCACAATTCAATGAACTCAACTGGATTCTTTAAATGGTCCAAATTCCATGGAAACCAGCACCCCGAATCTGTGTCCAAAGGAAATATGTATACATTTTTTAATTTTAGTGGGTTTATGATGTTTGGATCTTCCTTGGTTGTGTCCCTGTGCCCCTTCTGATTTCTGCTGTTCCCACAGATGACTGAGCACTGTTATAACTCTGGGTGCTCCCCATTTGAGTGTCCTGGCTGCTTGTTCCACCCTGTAGACAGTGACCTGGAGGGGTGCAGAGAAATGGGAGAAGAGGAAGGACACCTTCTGAGGAGCATCATTTCAGATCCATGGTAAGTTTTTGTGACCACCCAGACTTAAAATGGCATTTGTCTCTTATTTCCCCATCCCTGGACAAGTACTTAGAGCAGTCATATTCATTGTAGCAAGTTGCCACTCGTCTTTTTGACCTGATGTACCTGTGACAAATACAGGAACAGGAGATCTTCAGATGCAGCTGCAGTTGCTGGACCATATGAGATGTTTCCAACAGGCTCCTTTTATTATCACTGCAGCCTTACTTCTTTGCTACCAAAAGCCAATCAACCATGAAATAGCTGGTTCAGCCACATGAAATTGAACATCTCACTCTCTTTTTTTCCCCCTGTGGTTGTATTACATACTGCGTTTTGATGAGCCTTAGGGATATGTGCCCATGTATGATCCAAAGTTAATAAAATAACAATGAGATCCTGAAAGTACTGATAGGATAATGTATGGTGAGAAAAAGGTACTGGGGATAAAAAAGAAGCAAGAGACAATATGAATGAGAAAAAATGAGGGAAAAAGGGAAAAAAGAAAAAGAAGAAAGAAGAAAAGAGGGATAGGAGCAAAAAGGGGGAAAAAAGTATGTCATGCAAAAACAAAAATAAGGGAAGGGATAAAAGGAAAAAGTGCAGATGGAGAAGACAAAATGGAGAGGATGAATGGGTGGGCTGAAGGAAGGCAAAGTAAGGAAAAGGCTGAGTAAAGAGTTATGAAAGAACTCCAGAGTGATGGGTTTTGCAGGTGCATCTCAGCAGGTAGCCTCTGATCGGCTCTCTCAGGGACACAGCATGTTACCTGGACTAATTTATAAAGGAAATGAAAAGGAAATGGACTTGTTATAATGAACACCATTAATTCACCTCTTCAGACTTCACTGTTTGAGCAGAGAGTATCAAACTACTCAATTGTCATTTGTCTATTCCATTCTTCTCTGTTGCCTGTTGGAAGTGACTGGTGAGCACATACGCCCCCGAATGGCTGCACAGCCGCTAATTAGCATATATATTGTTTGTCCTGGTACAAATTTATAGCAAACAGCAATATTTTACACTCCAGTAAAGTTAATAAATGAGGCTTTAGGCTATAAAAATTTCATGTGCTTTTGTGCAAAGGTCAATTATAAATAGTTAAGCACATATTCATCCAAAAGCTCTGGGCTTCAGCTCTGGAAGAATAAAATATATTTTGGTCAGTCTGTTTGCCAGCTGGACAAATGCCTCTCATACAGCCTCTGAGACACCTCTTTCCAAAAGACCACTCAGTTGTAGAGCATTTTTGGCTCTGAGATGACTAATGTCCCATTTTAGCTTAGAGGAGAAAGATGCTCTGAAGTGTTAGAGATACAATAGGATCACACTGGGCCCAGCTAGGGGAGACTGTAACAATTAGAGTTGTCTTCTCTGAGAAGTAGTTCTGGGATTAGAAAATCAGATGCATGCACTCAACAGCTCCAGTGATGTTACTACAGACAAGAACACAAGAAGATAAAACTTAGTAATATGAAAGCCTTTCCTCGTTTTCAAGATAGAAGGTAATCTAGGTTTAAAGTTATCTTTTATTTGCATGATGGGAACAGGTAGGAGCTACATTGTACTCAACACTATAAATATATAAAAGAGAAGTGGTCTATATTTTAAAGAGCATGATCTATATATGAGTGATGGAAGGGTTTGGCAGTTATGCTCATTATTACTAATATTACTCTTTTATAATGCAGTTGCAACAATAAGACTAGATCCTGATATGAAGTCATATGTGAACATCTAAAGATAGACATGTCTCCTCAAGACTGAAAGCTTGTAAGATAGGGGATCAATGTTATATATCTACATCTTCTTTCTAGTGCAGGGGGAGAGGAAAAGGATTGATCCTTCCTGCAGCGGCCTTCTTCAGGATGGAGGCATTAAATCATGGACATTTTTTTGAGGGATCCTGGGGAAGCTGGTCTGTAGCAATGTGACAAAGCAATTCCATCAGAGGACACTGGAGATGACAGGATAGACTAGACTGAACGTAGGACACAGGAGGTTAGTTACCAGGAAAGAGACGCTGAACAAGAGCATCGGAAAGCTTGACGCTGCAGGAGGTTAGGACCGGGGAAGGCTGGAGCCCAGATCACGGAGGAAGCAGCATTAAACAAATTGTCATCCAGCATTTGTCATCACTGTTAACCTGGTAACCAGGCAACTGAGAGATATGTAAGAAGCTCACTGCATCATCCAGAGCGAAGGGATGTGTTTGGAAGGGATGAGAAAGGGCTTAAGAGCTCTGTGATTCATGGGATCGGCAACCCGTCACCAGGGGCTGGCAGGCTGGTAACTCAGGGGACACACACATGCACACACAGAATTCATAGGATAGATCAAGGGGGGAGCAGGAAACTGTGGAAAAGAAAGGAAGAAATCAGCACAGATGGGGACTGTACTGAAGTTCCTAAGCTTCAATTATTGCCATCATGAGGTACCTCTGAGCTGCAGCTGCCCCAAATGCAGTTTTTGACTTTGGTTTCATGCTTCCCCTCTCCCTCTCCAGGGCTGTGCACCCAGTGTGTTTCTGAGGAGCTTCATTCTCACCTACAGGTCATATTCAGGCACACATATCATCCCTCCACTGCCCAGAGACCGTGCCAGATGCCACCAGCTCCACCAAAGTGAAGGAGAGCCACTGGACTGCAGTGAACTTCCCCACAGCAGCAGGTGAGGATGGAGGAACAACACTGTTGAAAAGGCCTGTGGACATCCTGAGACTGGCATGTCTGCAAATTGGAGCAAGGAGACCTCCAAGTTGGAATGGTTTCATACAGGGAATGGTTTGAAGTTCCTATACCAGAAGTTTGGCAGAGAACAGAAAGCTGATTAGAGATAAAATCAGCAATGCTTGGCACATGGAGAAGTGTAGAAAAGTTTTGGGACAAAAGAAGTGGTATGGAGAAGGAGTAGGAGGAAGGGGGAGATACATCATGCCACTGGAAGGGTTGTTAACGTTCTGCATGCATCCAGAAAGGAGAAACCAGCAGTCAAAGCTTGGCTTTCCCACTCACCCTGCCTTTTGCTGGGTGAAATAGGAAGCTGGCCCTGTGAGCAGAGGGTGTACCGAGTTACCAATTCTCAGTTCTCTGTGAGGAGGAGCAGTGAGGAGGCACCCTAGACACCACAGGCTTCTCTTATGTGCTTAATGGTAAAGTTGACTGAAGCTAAACTATTTCCATCATAATAACCTGTGAATTTATCCACCTACATTTCCACCTGATCCATTTTTTCTGCTTGTCATCAAGGGAGCCCTGCAGCAGCAGGCAAGCCAGCAGAGAGCGATAGCAGGATAGAGAAGAAGAGTCACCCAAGGTGACTCTTTGGCTTCTTAGTGCCAGGGTGGCTCGGCAAAGGTCACCATTAATGGACAGAGAGGTCTGTTCTGCAAAAGGTTGGTTAGAATGAAAAAGAGGCCAGGCCTGAGCTGGGCTAGTCAGGGGGTTTCAAAGATACCCAGAAAAGGAAGGGATGCTGATGTCTGCACTTGGTCAGATGGAGACAAAGCTCAGCAAAGAAGACAATCCAGCTGTGGCTGTCACGTTGGTTTTGCTTCATTTACGGCACCTGTTAATTACACAAGGTTCATGTTGGGAACAGCTGGTAAAGTCCCTCCTTCTGTCCTGCTTCTGCATGAGCTGGTTTGGTTGTGCTTTGCTCAGGATTTCAGTCCCAGTTTCCAGAGGGATTTGTTAATTGACTTTGTGTCAAAGGTGACTCAAATCAGACCTAGGAAGCCCAAGAAGTGATCATCTTGTCTTTTTGTGACCAGGCACCAGTTCTCATTGAGCTGTGAAACAATTTCTTTCCATTTCATACCATAAATGAATACACACACACACACACACACACGCACTAGCATCTCTTGTGCTTAGATATTTTCATGGCCCCTGTATTCTTCAAATTACAGGGGCTCCTAGACTCATAGAAATGTCTCTTTGTGAAACAAAGCCACTTGCAATGGTCCCCAGTTTCAACTGATGTTTTTTTAACCCACATGGTGTGGATCAAACTTCTCTCCTGGTATTGCAGAAATTATCTGGTTTCCAAAATACTGAGCGCTGGGCACTGTGCTGTAGCAAGGGCAGGATGAAAGAGGCGTCAGTCCTGATACCCTGGAGGCAGGAGGAGATGTTAGAGGAGGGCACACTCATTCTAGAGCACACCCAACTCTGCTGCTGCTGTTTCCACCGTGGAAGTGGGGCTGCAGGTCCATGCAGGGGGCTGGAAGGAGCCAAAGAAGTGTGAGAGGGGACGTCCTGTGATCTGCATCACCTCCTGTAGCTCCAACTGTGGTGATCTGAGTGGTTGATAGATACAGGTTAGTTGTCCACTCTCTCACCTGGATATATTAACCCCTCAGGAGTTCAAAAACTCATATAGATTCAGAAATTTGGAAGCTCAGGCTGGTCTCATCAAAGCTTTCAATGTTATTATCTGTGCTAGTCAGAAGTGGAGTTCAAACACCCCTCAGGAATTCACCTTTAATAAACAGTCATGGGGCGAGGGGGTGGAGAGCATCCAGCAAGGCCCCTGTTATTATATTTTCCCCTTGTTCAGTGCTGTTCTCACTTGAACATCTCTGAGCCGTAGGGGGCTGCTGGTGGTGATGGGGATCTTATTGCAATTCATTTCTCATCCAAATTAAAATCAGCGCATTCAGTTCACCTTGCTGTGCTGACTGAGTGCTTTTGCCGGAGCAAAGCAAGGCCAGTGGTCCTTGGCAGTGACAAAGGTGGGAGGTGGTCACTGCAAACTCACCACCTGAGAAGATGAAGGATCACTGAGCTATTGCAAAATTAAAGCCAGCCCACATTACCCCCTCCTGCTTCCACTGAAGTCAATAGCCAAGCTTTGAAAGCAGCAAGATTGCCTTCAGGCCACGGGCTTCTGAGGATGCGATGTAGAAAGTGTCATCTACATCTGCAGGAGGCTGAAGCAAAAAAAAAAACAACTAGTCCTATGTGAGTTGGCAATAGGTACAGCCACCTAAATACCACAGCTAGGCTGGCCCCCTGAGATGTTGGTCAAACCACTTTTCTCCTGGCAACAACCCTCCTCTGAGACCTGGGTCTGCTCCAGGTCTCCCCATAGATTCTGCAGTCCCTCCTCCAGCATACTGTATGAGAAGTAGTAGTTCTCAAGCTTATTCCCAAATCTTCTATCACCATCATCCTCTGTCACAGAGGAATACAGCCTCGGCATCTTCACTGGGAAATAGTCGGTAGTGGGGCTTCTTTTCACTGCTGTTCAGAAATCTAAATTACAAATGCTTCCCTTTGAAATCTCCTTTCACTTGGGAGTAGAGGCATGGGCTCCAGGGTTTATTTTATATTTTACTATTTCATTCCCATTCTTTCTTTCTTGTCTTCAAAAGGTGCTTCTCACAATGCAGAGGGAGGATCTATTTCTTAGTTTAAGAGGGAAAAAAGTAAATGTGGAACAATACTTGACAAAATAAGCCTATAAGGGAAAATCTTCCAGCAGTTTTGCTTTCTATTGCAAGTTATTATATACACCCCCTGCTCTGACATTATTTTATAATCTAAAGTACTGCCACGCAGTAAAAAAAAATAAAATTAAATACAAATATATTATTTCCTCTTTGCCTGGCTCATTGATGGAGACCTTGGGTAGGTTTACCCACAAGGTATAAGCAGCTGATGTCCCTGTTGCCTCCAACAACTGCTCTTGTCCCTTGCTCTGACTGTCACCTCATTTCTATATGCTGCAGCACCTATTTACTTGGCCAAGAGCCAGGAGCCTCCCAGCTGAGGGAGGAATTTGAGGCTATGAAGCTATTTATTGTCATATATATACAACCTCTGAGATCAATTTCATTTCTTGTTTTTATTGACCCATTTCGCGCTTCTGAAGTCAATTTTCAAAGCCTGTTAGGGGCAGGTGTGCTCCCATGTCCTTGTTAAATCGCCACACTCTTTGGAGATCCCGAAGATCCAACCCAGAAGCAACGTTTTACATCCACAGCTCAAAGTCCTGGTGTCAGCTGCTGCACACCTCTTCCCTGGAGCCCAGGAATGGGACAGCCTTGGAGCCAGAGAAGAACTTTGAGAGGCAGAGAGGAAGGGCAAGGACTGGAAGAGACTCAAGAAAAAGGAATGAAAATAAGAGAATAGCAGAAGAATGTGATTTGCCATGATAGATCAGGGGGGGAAAAGTGACAGAAGGAGGATAAGATGGTGTTAACATAAAAAAGGGGAGGCGGAAGAGAAAAGGTTTGTGGGAAGAAAGGAGAAAAGAGAGAAGACAAAAAAAGAAAGAAAATAATTGAAAAATGAGTCTAAGGAAGACAAAGAAAGAAGGTAAAGTATAGCAAATAGAGTTTGTGCTTAGTCCTCCTAGAGCTGCTGGGTCCAATTGGGGGATAAGCATTCTGGAACTGTGTTTTAGGGGCTTTTCTCACTCCATACATGAGCGTCAATCTTTTGGGGTGTCCCTATTGATGGTGGCCTGGTAAGAGGACACTACAACAAGAATAGCATGGTTCACACTAAAAAGATGGATTTCTTGCAAGGGTGAGCTCCTCTTTTCCAGGGAAATCCAGAAGAAGAGTGTGCGTGAGAGTCATCTGGGGCTTTTCTACACTGTCAGTCTCACTCCTGCCTCAGGGCAAATACCTTTCGTCCAGCTTTGGGTCTTACCAACCACGACCATGGGATTCATCTTCATAAGACTCAGCCCTGCAAAATGCTGGTCCACTTGCCTTTGCTCAAGGCAAAGCGTTTCACAGTGTATTCAGAGCTGAGCAGATACTGAAGAACCCCACAGTATTGGGGCCAACATGCCCATTGCTTCAGAGGATCAATCCCTACCAAAGCAACAGCTTAAATTTTCATGTACTAGCTTCTGGTAGCTATTTTTCTGTTCCAGACATTGGGATATCACAAGCAAAACAAAAATGAAATTGAAGAAACAGCAGGGATGGAGGGAGAGGCTTTAAAAATTTTTAGCTAAACTGACGTTATTAACCTGTCACTGGTGCTAAATTCTCTTGGGAAGTTTCTGAGGAAAGAACATCAACCTATTTCACTGTCTTTTAGCAGAATTGGATCTGTGGATGCATTCATTCCTGGGCATTGAGAGCTCAAAGCCATCTATGGCTGGGCAGAGACTGCAGCCTTCTGCTTCCTCATTAGAAATCCCTACCTGCCACCCTCAGAACTGCTGAAATGTGCTCCCCACACCTCCCCTGAGCTCCCCACTGTCAGAAGCCTCTTTGGATTTCCAATTTAACTCCTCCAGGGACAGTGTGCCTGCAAGGAAGGAACATAAGCTCACTAAATGAATCTCTTAATCACTGTCATTTTAGTCCTTTTTAGCCAAAACAATAGTATAGTTTTTGCAGACAAATGGAAGTCCAGGCGTGAATTCTCCCTTCATCTAATCACATCCCTATTGAGAAATCCTGCTTGTTGAGCTGATTATAATTTTCTTTTTTTTTTTTTTAATAAAGCCTATTTCCTTTGATATTTTTATATTCAGCAAGGTGAAAATGCTAGTAAAAAAATGTTTTATTTGTGTGCAGAGAGAAAAGTAATGTGTATACCAGGCTTTGAAGCCTTCTTGACTAAGCATACCCACAGCATGCTCAGGAGGATGCAAGCCCAGGACATGTCTTGGCAGACCAGGCTGGAACCTGCCATCAGTTTGGGCAGTCCAGACTCGTGTTTCCATACTCACGATGGCATTAGTGCTGTCCTTAGCTCCCAGTTGGTCAAAATTATGGGGCATCCAATATGAAGTAGCACAATAAGACAAACCTGAATGGATAAAGTCTAGTTTACTCTCCAAATTAAACTATCATAACACATTCAGGGTCCAGGGGCCAGAATTAACCATCTTTCTACCCCCTGTGAAGCTCACAGGATTTAATCACGTTCAGGTGTGGCTTGGTGAGCCTGTGCTGCCTGAAGATTTATTGGATTCACCTGGGATTGTGGACAACCAACTGATACCAATATTTTCTCCTTGCTATTAGTTGTCCTGGAGTAAGTCTTGCTGTGAGGAAATAGTTCTGTCTGGGAGAAAGTCATCTTTGAAGAAAAGACTGGAATGAAGTAGCAGAAACTCAGCATCTGCAGCGACATTCCCTGCACGCCACGCGTAAGAAGGAAAGGTATGGACTGAAAGCTGATCCCTAACCTTTCATCCATCCAGTGAGCTTCCTACATCTGGGGAAAGTTATCCCAGATTTGTGAAACAAAAGAAGTGCAAACAAGTCCCACCTTCCTGTCCTCTGCTTCCTCCCCAGCTGGATTAAAATTGTGCATTCAGAAAGCACGCCGAAATGGATTCCATTTAATGAATTCTGTTTGAAAGCTGGAGAGAGGTTTGCAGCCAGCAGAGGAGGGAAGCTCTGGAACAGCCTTCAGCAGGAGGAGTGGGTGGCAAGCAGCAGCCTGACTAGTTTTATGATGAAGCTTGATCAGTTTACGAGTGGAATTATGTGGTGAGGTTGCCTGAGATAGCAAGGGACTGGATGATACGACCTCTGAGATCTCTTTCAATCACGTGCTATTCAACTGCACTGAAGTCATGGGATATAATAGACACAGTTAATTTTTTTCATGGACACTACTTTAGTTTATGCCAGCTGAGAATCTGCCCTAGTGTGGCCAAAGTCAAGGCAACCTTTAATCCCTGTAATGTGTGATAGCACTTCAGTCCTCTCTGCCCACACCTGGCTTCCTGATAATACCAATGATGTCTTTATTCTGCAATGTCTTTTTCTATTGTAGAGATGTTAGCCATGGCCTATCTGATGGCCACATTCAAATATATATTTTTCCCTTTGTCTGGCAATAAAAGATACCTTGAAAGAGCAAGGATGGTGGGGAGAATGTCATGTGGGGTCACGAGGCACCGGCGTTCCACAAAAGGGAGCAAAATAACAATGAGAAAATACCACAAAACACTTTCCAGAAATAACTGCCTAATTAATACAGCTTTTGTTTGCTCAGTAGCTGAACCCCCTTTTTCCTACGCTTGAGAATGGCTACTGGGGAATATTAGAGGGAACTTGATTTTGTTTCTAAGCTTTACCCCTAACAACCTGCTTTGATAGAGAAATGTGTATGAAATCAGGGACAGATACACAGCGTGTGAACTCTGGGCTGTGTCAGAACTAACCAGCGCAACATGAACATGGGATATAGAGTACTAACAATGTACTGCCTTTTTTTTTTTATATATATATATATATATGTCACAGAGGGACAGTGTGCCCCCAATCAAAGTGCTAGATGGACTACAAACACAGAACAAAAAAGACAACCTGCAGAAGCTTACAATTCAAGTAAGTTGCGGTACAGAAAAATAATCCCAGGAAAAAAATATTTGGCAAATAAATCCAAAGAATTAATGATCTCGGTTGTAGGAGGATAACTCACAAAAAGGCAAAATGAGTCTAATAAATTAGAAAGAAGCAAAATTAGCCTAATAAACCTTCGGCTAGAAGTTAATCCTTGCAGTGCACGGGTACAATGTAACTTCCCTCTGGGTGACCCCAAGCGTGGAGAGGGGCAGAGTGTGGATGAACCATTATGGACGTGTCAGAGTTGGGGAAGAAAGTGGGAGCCAAGTGTTTGTTTTGCTCCTTTCCTGTTGCTCATGAGATAACAGATGCCTCAGTGTGTACCCAGTCCATTCCTGATAGGAGACTGACACTGGGGTTGTAGATCTAACTGTTTAGCTTTGTAAGACTTCCAGTTTTGTAGGGCTTTTTTCCCAGTTTCTGCGGTCAGCCAAAATGGCATCTGTTCTGCTGTTGTTTCTCTAGAGGTCTTCAGAGATCTGCTGTGCATGCACTGTTAGTGTAAACCAGCAGTGCTGGACTCATCCCTCTGCATTTGAGGGTACCAAAAGCAGGATCTAGTTTTATAACCCCATAAAATAAATTTGCCCAAGCTGCACAGGAAAGCAAGCCCAGTTGCACATTTTTTTAAATTAATTGATCCTATGGGCAACAGCTCAAGGTACAAAAGTTCATGGTTTCTCTTACCACCCCCAAGAGGCACCTCTCTTTTCCATGTTTGACATGGGAATGGCATCGAGATGTCCCTCCATCTGCCCCTGTGAAGGGGCAGGTTGGAAGAGGGAACATGCCAGGTCAGGACTCTTTGGTCCCAAAATACAGCCATGGAGTAGGGAAGGATGTCCCCAGACAAATATCTTGCTCTTGCCAGCACATACAGAAGTATGTTTTCTGTGCATCCCTGCTGCTAGTGAGGAAAGACTTGAAGTGATGTCTAAAACTCCACTTTTAAGAAACCTCAGCAGCTGCCCAAGGACACCAGTTTGCTTAATTGCTGTATCAGTACATTCAAAGATACTCACTATCTCACTATCGGCCCCAGCGAAACGTGTATTATCCATTTGTCCTTGAAACCAGCCATCCCCTCGCTAAGTGATTAAAGTAGTCTTGTGCCGGATGAACCGTGCACATCTCTTTTTTTTTCTTTCTTCTCCCCCCAAAAGATATCATCCCCCCTGCCTTCCTGCTAGTCATGACAGAGCTCCTTCCTTGCAATTTATTATGTTTGCACTCATTTGTTTTTCTTCAGACGCTGCATCCAGTGACCTCTGGCAAAGAAATGGGAATAGCACACACTCTTATCCTGGCACAAGGCAGGAGCAGTGACAAATTGGTTTACTTTTCTGCTTGATGCTGGGGGTTGTGAGTAGGGAAAGGGGGGTTTATTAGCCTGGACTTACTTATGTGTCTGAAATATGCTTTGTAATCACTCCTCTCTGATGTTACTTAAATATGTAGTTGGGCTTGTCTGTTACTGTCCGGGAATGCAGAAAGTTTTGCCTGAATAGATGGAAACTTCTGGTGGGAAATAAACTTATTATCGTGATATGCTGGGATTTTTTTATTACTTTTTTTTTTTTTTTTTACGGCTAAATATACATGATCAGTTGTGTATGGATGTATTCAGCTATGCTAGGAAAAGGAACAGCAGAGACATCCACAGCCCCACTTTCCAGCACAAAAATACCCAGCCATTTACCAGTGAGAATAGATTAGGAGGTGTGCACAGCCACAAACACCTCTCAAAGCCTTGGGGAACATTTTGGAAAGAAGGCACTTTTCCCACTTCTCTCCTCCTAAATTGAGCAGAAATAGCCCAGCAGATGGGGGACTCTGGGCGATTCTTGAAAGTGCCAAGTGATAATAGCCATGATTTTGGTTTCAGGATTGCGTGTTTGGTTTGCATCCCTCCTGCCCCCCCAGCACACATACCCCCATGGGCACATCCACCTTTGGGGGGGTGCCCAGTGGGATGGCACAGCAAACAAAGCAATGGAGATAATTCATGTGGAATTCAAAATACTGACCCCTGTTGCAAAGCCTCTAAGATCTGCTGGTGAACAGCACTCTCTAACAGGTGGGTATTGTTGCCTTTATGATATTCCTTACTGATTTAAAAATCAAGGAGAGGTTATAACACTTGAGGACTTTCCCATAAGTCCATGTAACTATTTCTAAAAAGACACTTGTGCATTTGACTGTGTATCTCCCATTCTGGCTGCGCTCGTTGCTGTTATTCTGAGGATGATCCATGCAACATACAGTTCATCACAATTTAGTGAACTATCAGAATAGCATTTTCACCGATCCCATGTTGCTGCTCCTGACCTCAAAGGGACGATCTCAATGCTGCCTCCTCAGAAAACTGCATTTGTGTTCCCTCCTCCGCTTTCTTTTTTGTGGCTGATGTTATCTCGTGTTATCTTAATTACACGCTTTAGGGATGCCTGCTGCACAGATCATTGATGGAGTTTGATGTTTGTTAATATCACGTTGCGTTATGAAAATCTGGTACATTAAGACCTTGGTGTCTTTCCAAATTATTCTGAAGATATAAAAAACTTAATAAGCAACCCACTTTAACTAATACAGACTAATAGGTTGAGAAGGGAGGGGGAGTGAGTTTGGGAACATGATTTATTTGAGGGGCTGTAAGTAAAATGATTTAAAGAGCCCTTGATCGGGACTTGCTATTTGAGGTCAGGATTTAGTATCAAAATTAGGGTTAGTACTGGTGGGGATAGTAGACATCAATTTGTGGTCAAATCAAGTCAACCTTCACACTTGTGTTTAATTTTTCCCCAACCAGCAATTTGTCTTTAAATGCTAACACTTAGCTAAATCAGGTGCAGATGGTTGTTTTTATCAAATGAATGCTGTTTTATCACTTTAAAAGCTTTTGTTTTTAGTCAAGTGAAGGAAGTGGGCAGCAATCCCTTGTTTTTGAAAGAAGAAGAGCATATGCTTTTTAATTTGAAATGTAGCACTAATAGCATTATCCACAGGAGGATAGGCTGTGCTATTGTGGATTGTGGATAATGCATTTATGCTCAAATATCCTTTATTCCCTCCTGAGTGAAAGAATTTAACAGCATATTGTATTACCACACCATGGAGAATATCATTTACTCTGAGTGAATTTTTTGACAGTATCAACTCTGGTTTTGTTTTTGTTTTGTTAATTTTTAAGGAAATTCTTGATGAATTTGCAATGTTCTCATAACACTGTGTTGGAAAAAAACCCCTCAACCTACCGTGAACAACGAAAAAATACTGTCGAGGGGAGATCTGGAGATAATGCAGACAAGAGCCAGAGACAGTTTCAAAAATAGCTTTACTGACACATCCTTTTTTTTTTTGCATTTCTCAGTCTCTGCTCTCTTCTCACCAGAAGTTGGTGCTCGTGCTACAATGGTGCCAAGCTGGGGATGCAGCAAAAGGGAGAAAAGCAGGCTTGAGACACGCAAATTCAGTCCACTTGTGACTTTCTGTAGCAAACTCCTTTTCCCCGGGGCTGTAAGACAAATGGTTTAATAACCCAGAATGCTGTGCTCTTTGCTTCAGCAAAGTTGACTCTCTGCATTCAGCCTTATTCACAGGTATCTCCAACAACCTCCTGGGAAAATGCTGAACAAACGGAGATCACGGCTTGGAGGCCCGGGGCTGGCCTTGCATTGTTTGCTTTTTATTGTGAGGCTTATCTTGCTGTGTCATATGGTTAAAAACTGGAGCCTTGGCTCCAAGATAGCAGTGGGAAGGCAAGAAAAGCTTGTGCGCATTTGTCTTCGGGTCAGTTTTATAAATGAATGTACTGATGCAGCCCTCAACAAAAATGCAAGGTAGAAACTATGAGCAAGAGAGAACAAGAACAAGTCCTAACTTCTTTCCCGTCATGTGTTTTTCTGGAAATGAAAAATTTGAACATTGCTCTCGTGCTTTCTCACCAGAGAACTGGCTGCACTCCAATAACCGAGCGAAGCGCTGGACTTCCACTCAGAAATCCAGCATGGCCATAGCTAGCCTGGCTGGAGGTGTGTTTGGAAAATCAAACCAGCTCTTGTGCTCAGCTCCCATTTGTCTCAGGATGTTAGGATGTCCTAGTTGTGTTGGGGAAAGTAAGCCAAGCCTGTTAGAAATGTCAAAATAGAATTGAATAAAATAGACTAAGGCTGAGAAGCTCAGTGGAAAGAAGGCACAACGTCCCGCAGGGTGCAATGTCCAAGTTGGGTGGCAAAGGAAAGGAAAGAGGTTTTTGAAAGCAAGCTAGAGTCTGCGTGCTGACCCACTGCTTAGTAGAAAGAAACATAAAAAGAATCCCTACTGTCTCCTAGAAGAATTCACTGAGGCCACAGCTTGAGCATGAGCTGGCTCACTGATGGACAGAAACTACTTCAGACCTGTTTCAGAGAAGACAGAAGGTCCATCCTGTGGCTCCGCTTGCAGGATCACAAGGCAACAGTGATTTGGTGTTCATCACAGTGCTTCATTGTGAAGCATGGTAATATCTGTGTCTTCTTCAGAAACGTGAATATTGCTTCTACCCAGTTTCAGCCATGTGAAAGTTTAGATGTATAAGCCAATGATCTAGCCCTTCTCTACAGGCACTGGAGAGAAAAGGAGACATCTCCAGAGAATGAGTCACCTCTTCCTATGTACAGTGTCTAAAGTGGGTGGCATGACTCATCCTCCAAAGGTAACAGTCTCTCTTTCTATGGCTTGAATGACTAGTTTCAACTGAAAGCCCAACTTTTTGGTGGCAGAAATGAGCCATCTTCACTGTTAGCCACATTTGTCTCAAGTTTCAAAATTCAGAGCAAGGTGAGAAAGCTTACTTCCCAGTAGACAGCCCCTTCAAAGGACTACTTTGTGATTTCTCCCGGGATCTACTTATCTTTGTCCTTTAAAAATGGTGCTGGGATGGTTTGCTCAAGTTTCATGGAGTCAGAGAAACTAAAGCCTGATGGAAGCGTAAGGAGAAGTCACTTCTTGACCCATGCCCAATCCACAGGCGGAAAGCTGCAGTTAAGTTTGTTATCCTTAATGTTTCATTACTTCCACTCCTTTCAACAATATCTTCCAGCAGTCAGTAAGAAAATTTCAGTTGTCTTCAATGGGCTTTCATCCAAGCCTGCAGAGAGAGCAGGAGAGAAAATTCAGTTGCAGAGGCAAATCAACAGAGGGGAAAGGTAATGACACGAGAGAGCTAAAAGACGTAATCGTGAGAAGGGGGAGAGCGGGAAACAAAGAGAGGTGCTTTAAAGATTGAGAAGAGGAGGAACACAGAGACATCACTCAGTGGAGAGGAGATCTGGGCAGGGGGAGAGGGACAAACTCATACCCTTGAAATACGCATCTCTCCAACACTGCGGCATCACTTCCATTTGAAAATGCCTAACTGCTCTTCAGTTTAATCATTGCTGCACTTCTGGGTATAAGACGAATAATTAAGCCTGGGAGTAGAATACAGCAAGTGTTAATAGGGCAGAAGGTACTGCAAAGTCCTTATAAAAAGCTGTGCTTGCAGCACAAAGTGGCTGCTGTTCTCTGCATCCCCAATCACAAAGTGAGGAGCATGAAAGTCCTAAATTAAATGAAGTGCATCTGTATCCATTCTGCTGGACTTTTTTCCCCTGCGTTTGATACCATTGCTTGCTAAATAATACCCCATCTCTAGCAAAGGATGAAAAAAGTAATTCTGTATCTTCCCTCCAAATCAAACCAGGACGGACATCCTGCACAGCTTTCCATGCCTACCCCTGCAGACTCCCACAAACACAGTTCTTCTCCCTTACATAAGTTAATGTTTAAAGAGAATATCTTTATCTATATAGAGACAATGCAGTCTGAACCGGCAGCGTTATGGAGCTCATCCTCTTTGATGAGTTCAAGATTGCTTCCTAATGCCCACTTCAAACCATGAGAGGCGACAATTAAACAATGTCTGAGAAGAAGCTGAGCCAGCTACACTGCCCAGGCACCTCGCAGGGCTGGAGTTTGCATGTAACTAGTTATACTAGAGAAGACAGAGCAAGGAAAAGCTGTAACTGGAATACAATGCAGCTGTTATCCATGTACAGTGCAAGTTATTGCAGTTTGCTGCTCTCTCTGCTCCTTTCTTCTCCATCTTAAGTGTCTCTCCACCCCTGAGCACCCCTCTCCCTCAGGCTGTGGACCACCAGGACAAAATAGAAGTAGCTCAAAAGAGAGCAGTTTGTATTTGAATCACTCAAAACCCATTCCTGAACAACGTTCAAGGAGCTGTGTTCATTCCTGTGAGGGATCAGACCGAGTGTCGCTCTAAACAGCGAATACAGAGTTCCTCTTTTAGGGCTTCATTTTCCGCATGCACCCAATTAAACAGAGCTGTATAAAGTAATCAAATTAGGCTGGGAAGGAAGAAAGACAGATTGTTATTTTTAAATACTTGGGAGACGTTTGGGAATGGGAGGTCATAAAGGTAAAGAGGGAGGTCAATAAATAGAAAGGAGAAAATTATTTTTAACCATTGCAGAGAAGGTATTTTTAGAGCAATCA